GCGCTTTCGATATATTGAAATTACATTTCGAACTATAAAATATACTTATTAACACCTATACAATATGTAATGTAATTGAACATATTTTTTAGAAACTAACTGCAATACATTTTTCTTAGTCGTATTTTTAAGTATATCGAAAATAATWTTAGAACCATTTTGTTTTATAATCGTTTGAAATTCTAATATTGATAAAATTGGAAATTTTTACGAAAAATAGCAGTTTTAGTTTATTTATTGTAGATTAGTAGGTACCTTATATTATAATTCTAAAAACATCAATCGTTGTGACATGTAACTTTCCGCCACTATCTATAATATGATGTAAATTAATTATAAATTTCAAAATATTTAGACTTGTCTACTGCAAACTTCTTATACTATGAATCTAAATACATTTTTCTACCATACGTCAGAAAATTGACTTATTGAATAACTTTTAAGTTACCTATTAATAATATGTTTTGATAACTAAATAATAGTACTTAATTGTATTTAACATAGTATACAATGATTAAATGATTTTAGACTAATGTAAACTAGTCACTGGACTCGCGCGTGATTACCTTTTTTGTTGTATACTTTTCCTGGAAATTTCAAGTAATGAAAGGCGGATTGTAAACTCAACCCGATAATATAGTTTATAGTTATAGTTTTAAAAAAATACGTCAATACTTTTTTTTTATCTATTCGTATGGCTATGTTTGATTAGATAACTTAACTGTAGAAATAAAAACTATAAAAACGATAGAATATTAAGTATTATATGATCAACATTTGTTGTTCCAGTTTATGCACCAAATTTACTGTAATACTAATACATCATACATGGTATTATTAACACACAATAATTTGTAATGTCATACAAAAGGTAAAGTTATATTTGTATCACATAACAGAAGCTATATGAYGGTCGTCTTGTTGATTGTACTTAACTGAGTGAGTGTATACGGATGTGCGTCAGTCCCCACACATGGACGTATAACTTATACCTATAAACAAAAATGTATTCRTAATTGACGAATGGGTCTACTCGGGAATATTTCAGCTTCAGTTTAATCGTATGCATCCTGTAGTCAAGAACGCTGCATCATGTCTGGWTGTAAAAACATAGATTTGTCTTTTCTGCAATCAATGATTGACAAGACCGAACCTGGAGTGAAAATTAATTCGTATGAAGTGAGTGATTTAAAACTGCAGTGTAATAGTATAAAACACGTTAATAATTTTGTACTTGGTGATCGAATTGCGGTATTTTGCAGATAGCATTGGGATCAAAACGAGGTGATAACTATACATCGATGTTGTACAGAATTAAACTATATGGTGACGACGGATGGTCAAAATCTCTGTTCTACAAGTGTTTGCCCGATAACAGACAGGCGAGAAATACGTATAAATCTGAGTTACTATTTAACAACGAAGTGACATTCTATACAAAATCTTGTACAGCATTGATGGAATATCAAGTCCGTATAGAGTACCTTTATATTATTTTGTCAATATTAATTTTTATCATAAGGCTTACACTAATGCTTTAGGACCTCAAACAATTGGACGAAACTTTTAACAGTGTGCCGAAATGTTATTTGGCCCAGAGCGATATCGTTATATTGGAAGACATGCAATTTAAAGGATTCACCATGTTAGACAGAATGAAGGGTCTTGATTTTAATCACTGTAGAGCCATACTTAGGTAAAGATTTGATGGGATTATTATTGCACGCGTCTGAGTTGGCGTGATGATGTTCTTTCAGAGTCTTGGGTAAATTCCACGCGTTGTCGCTGTCCATGAAAGTCGAYCAGCCAGAAAAGTTTAAAGAATGCATTTCGGACGCAATAAAAGAAGTTTACTATAAGAGTGAAAACGAATTGTGGTATAAAGGATATTACAGACGAGCCGCAGAGAACGCAGAGAAAATGGTACTTATATACACAATATACACATAGATATTGTTCATAATAATATTAATTGTCATCGCATCTTGCGTATAATTATATACAAACGATATTTATGATTTTTTTCATTGCAGCTGGAAACTGAATTGACTGAGGACGAGAAACCAAAATATTTGGATAAATTTCGAAAATTTGTCAACCATGAATCGTTCTTTGGGTATATGGTGGGACTAGTGTCACCTAAGGAATCGCTATCAGTACTCTGCCACGGTGACTGTTGGACGAACAATTTTTTGTTTCAGTACGCTCAAGATGGGAGCATATCTGAAGTAAGATGTGACATRATTTACGAATCAAACAATTGTAAAAAAATAAATAAATAGTAATAATACCCAATACTGTTTTTTCAATAATTTTCAAGGTGTCTATAGTAGACTTTCAGTTGGCTAGATATGGCTCCCCGGCATTGGACTTGGTCAGTCTTTTGTATTGCTGTACCAACGTAGAGTTAAGGAAGCAGTATTTACCTGAACTGTTGGAAGAATATTACGATTCAATCGTCAGTGTTCTAACACAAACAGATTGCTTGAACCATTATCCTGATATTCGACAAAAGTAAGATGAACTTATGACATTTTTTTTTTGTCCCGGAACTGATGTGTTTAAAATAAAAACAATGAAAAACTAAACTAATAAAAATATATCGATGATAATTATTCATTTTTCTTAAAAAAAAATTATTCAATAATGGAATAAAATATACATACCTAGTCAATAGTCATATAGGTAGGTACTTAAGTAATTGAAACAAACATCATCATTTTATAAATACAGATATTTTTTTATGATAGTTAAAATTTGATAAATAGAATCAAACTAATTTTTAAAATATATGCACATTATGCACCTAAAAATTAAAAAATTAAGTTAWAGCTTTTTATACTATTTATTATTAATAACTAATTCATATCTATTATCTACACAACTAAAGATAATGTATATCAATGATTAATCGACCTAAATACGAAAATAGTTATTATCTTGCAGTCTGCAGGTACCTGTTCGTAGTTACCATTTATTTATTATTATTATTTTTTGTAACCTTATTATTATAATAATAATTTAATTAGATATTCCAGTATTTTGCACAATTTTTATTTTTGTATTTTAATAAATTGCCCTGTCAAATAGTAAATATCGCCGGCTTCGAATCCACTTCTCGCAGGCCTTTATGCGCCATATAATATTATTATTTAAACCTTTTGTGTTGCGTGAAAACTTAAACGAATAATTTTCGTTACGTATTGTATTGTAGCATCGAATACTGTTATTCGAATGTTCGAATTATTTACGATAGACCTATTCGAATAATTCCCATCGGCCATCACTAGTACCTACAGTGATGTATAATATATATTGAATTTATTTTTTAATTTGTCCTTCCATATTAAATTTAATTAACGAACTATATTTTCTATTATTCGCATCATTAAAAAAAAAATATTATCCGGTTACTTATGATCTGTTTACTACCGCGGAATAAGCTAATTTGAATGTGTTAAWAAAAGCTTATTATACTTCTGTCCTCGAAATTTCAAATTGACTTCCACGTATCATAACTTTCAGGGTTTTACGTGAGAAGAAGTTGAAACATTCGACGAATCGTAATCGGTCGTTAATCATTGTTTCTGGCCTAATTTGTTTTTATTCTGAAATTGATCCACTTTTTAATAAAAATTGTATAATAGTTTTACATTTTTAATTAATTTTGCTTGTTTTTTATGATATTATCGATATTATTGTGAATTGGATTCTACATTTTTTTTTTTTTTACAAATAAATGTATTTAATCATATCACAGGTTATACGAAGAAGTGCGTGAATACAATGTGTTTGGTCTAGGAGTAGCCCTAGATATGATACCGATCATTACATGTGACTCGGAGTCGGCTCCAGACATGTATACGGAAGATACGATCAACATTGACGACGAATCCAGCAAGGAACCTTACCCGGTCATGACTACAAGCAACTTATGTCGCCGAATGATTGCTGACTTGGTCAAAGAACTCGTGGACAACGGATGTTTAACATAACAGGTTGAGTTAATAAAGTTGATGCGATGTATGATTATCATTTAATGATATACATAGCCGTATTAAGATGGTTTTTTTTTTAATTTGTGATTATTATTTTTATTCTATTATATCATTGTCATTTAATCATATTATTCGGTATTCCATACGTGATAACTGTTATTTACTTTTGAAGTATTATACGGATTTGTGTTCATTATAAAAGTTGATAATAATATTAAAATAATAAAACAATAAAAATTGTTTTATACCAAAAGCATTAATATGGGTAATTTACTCATGAGTTCACAATAATAAAAATAAAAAAACAGAGACGCAATTATTAGTAGTACACCTTTATATTATTGGTACGGGACTGTGTACCTAACCAAATAATACGCTGATCCCACCCCTATGATTATTGAAACTACCAAATCATCGGTTTTTGGATTTTAATATGGTTAAGAAATTATAAATTATAATACTAATAATAGCATACAATGACTACAATGTATTTTAGGTTTAAATTCTTGAACAAATTAAATACAAATATCTTTATAAACCTTTTTTCAAACCATTAATTCATTTTAACAATAAAGCTTTGTTCTGCTTTGAGTACTAAATTAAATATTCAAAAAAATTTAAATGCTTATAGGACTGTAAGTTAAAAAGTTAAAATGTTAAGCAAAATGTAACATTAATTCATAACAGTTCAGATGAGTAATATTTCATTGAATAAAAAATACAGAAGTATTAGTATAATTAAGTACAGTGTTCATATGGATTAATACTTTACAGGACATTAAATATCTTCTTTTATTAACATATCATTATAACTTTTTAATGTTCCTGAAAGATTTGGTTAAACTTATGGATCTGTAAAATACAACAAATAATATTCCAAGTACAATAATTAATATATAATGAATATATATACATATTATATATATAATTATTAAGCACCATCAGAAATCAATGTAATGAAGAAAAATTGTGTCAGTCAAAAAATCATCTGGCAAAATTGTAGGAACCATGATTGAAACATAAGAAATTACAAATATGGCATCAGTGCATCACCTTATTTATTGTACAGTTAGGTGTATCATGTATACAATAGTGTGTCAAGTCAGGATCATTCAATTTCAAACACTCTCTTTTGGTAGAAATGCTTAAGACTTGCATGTTTGTTTATTATTACTTTCTATAAATAAGTTGATGGATAAACTTATCTTGAGTGTCTTATTATTATTCAATAGTCACCTCATGGTGCATCTTGGATTGGCTGAATCAGAGCATCATAGGACACAGGTTTATTTGAAGAAAAGCAGTCATCTACATATCATTTAATTTTTATAAAACCATAATATTTAATAATTAATCATGTTTTATAAAGCCAGAACAGAGAATATTTTTGGCCCAATGATTATTAAAAAAAAAAAAAAGACCAATATAACCAATATAATCTTATTGCTGAAATTTAGAGAAAAAAAATAATTTAAATAATTAAAAATATATATTATACAAGTGTTTTATTTTAAACATTGATTTCCCAGAAAAAATAATAATACAGTATAAAAAATATAAATGTTACTAATAAACTAATAGTAATTTTATGWATATAATATTTAAGTACAGTGCACATATTACAAGCAATAATTGTACGATTATACAATGGTACAATGTACCAATCATAATTGTACACAATACCAGTGTATTTTAGTTCAAAAATACTATTGACAATATTAGGCACCATACAAAAAAAATAATTACTTATTGAGCTGAGACATAATTTATATTAACATTAAACATCAATGAATATGCCAATATTTCACATTCATATAGTTATAAAATTATTTTTAGATTGTCATATTGTTTTTACATGTATATTTTGTATTTATTGGTTGAAATGATCAACATGATAAATACATAAAAAAATTACTTTATCATGCCCTTAAACTAAAAATATATAGGTATTCATTTCATATACAAAATGCATATCATGTAATATTGTATAAGAATAAATAAAGTTATTGCCAAAATATAAATATAAATTATTTTTACATGAATAAATCTACGTAATACTGTTAGTAAACAACATTGTAGATGGCTAGATATATAAAGTAAACATAACTTATATATAAAGATAATCCACATACAGATGAATAAAATGTAAAATATAAAAATAGTTAAAAGACTAAATAATTTGATAGAGACTAAAACATAATTAAGTAGATAAATTAATTATAAACATGGAGATGGATGTCCTATAAAATATATTACAAGACACAATTTACAGACTTCAGAATTTAACCTAAGAGAACMACAATTAAAACTGAATTTGAGTGCTGTCAAATACCAGGCATGTGATACATAGATCTAATAAAAAAATATATCACTTTATTTAACTCGTTCTTCATTATTTAATGCCATAAAAATATATTTGTAGAAAAGAGTTGATATTATTGTTCCCGAGAATGGACCAATCCAGTATATCTGAAAAGAAAAAAAAATTCTTATTTAAATGCTTTTTTTATAGGCACATCAATTGTCAATTGTTATAAAGATATTATCACTAACCCAATGCATGTTCCATGAATTGTTGTAGATTGCAGGTGCTAACGACCGTGCTGGGTTCAAACTATTTCCAGTGAAAGGGCCCTGAACAATAATATAATATATAATTAATGTAATAAAGATAATCAGCAGATAAAAAAGTAAGTAAATTTAAAAGCTATATTTTTTTTATTTTTTTTTTCATAGATGTCTATAATTTGCTTTCTACTTTTATATTATTTGTCGTAAATGATAATTTAAAAATATGCTATAACTTATTTATACAATAAACAAAATTATAAAACTGATTTGTAACCTTACAACATCCTTCAAATTATGTGTACAACAAAAAATACTAAATATTAAATTGATAATAAATAAAATTCATGAAATCTTACTATTGAAGAAAATTTACAAAATTTGTAATATTATAATGATATTTTTAAAGATTATAAGTTGTTTTTTTAAGATAAAACATTATTGGCGATAGAAAGTGATAAGCTGTAACGGGTCCGCTGTGTATATTTATATGTTATTTTTCCAGAGCTCCGTTACATATTTATCCCCCGCTGTCCTAAAAATTGATAAGCTTTCTATTGCCAATATTGTAAACATACAAAATGTAAAATCATAAAATTGTATTACACCTACACCTAGGTACTTTAATAAGTAATCATTAATAGTATAAATATTTTGATAAAAAGAGCCATAAATTTAAACAACATTTAAGACAACAAATTATCTAGGTATTTAAATATATAAACACAAAAATACTAATAAATTGAGTTACAAACATACATTTACATAGGTAATTATTTAAATATTTTTAATAATTTAATTTTCCTATCACAAACTTACAGGGTAAAGCACAACTAAAATATGCTTTTTAGCTTGAATTAGAGATTTTATTTACTATCAGTATCATTCATATTTAATTAAAAACTAAAAAGCTTCAATGAAAAATTAGTACAATTTTATTAAACACTAAACAATACATATATAAAGTGTTAATGTTTTATAATTTATTGAAGACCAATGAGAAAAATGTGTGTTGCTAGTTACTGTTAAATAATTTTAGTAGAATTTTGAAAGATTAAATTGTAAGACTTCTTAACCACTACAAATATGAAATAAATAAGGTGTAACATTTTTAATATAATTATTGTTTTTTGTACATTTAATATGACTCAACACGTTTTTTACCCTGAAGTTGTTGACTGAATACGTTGACAGTAATTAATTATCACATTTTAAAATACTTACAACAACAACTGATGTCAAGAATATCATGACTAAAAATTTCAGAGAACCACAATCTCCATTTCCACTTTTAGGATCCCAGACGGCACATACTAAAAGCATCAAAACTCCTGTTGTTATAGCTTCGATTAAAAGGGCTTGCCATGCAGTCAAACCCATAACTGGGCTTGTAACACAAACTCCAGTTTCTGATGAATTCAATATATTATAAGGTGAAATAACCTATAAAATAATAAAAAAAATTCAATTCAATAATTCAATCTTACTTTTGATTATCTATATCATTTAATATAAGTTCTCACCACTAAAAGTCCATAACCAATCATGGCTCCTAAAAACTCGGCTAAGAAATAAATTATAGCTGTTAATATTGGTAATTTACCAAGAATTAATGCACACAATGTAACACATGGATTTATATGACAATTACTGATGTGGCCAATAATCTGCATTAAGTCAAAAAATAATAATTAATAAACAAAATATTAAAAATGTATATTTATAATATACTTACAACAATAGTGACAGCTACAATACCAGCAAATGCAATAGCACCACTGTATTCACCAAGTTCTCCACCCGGATGCTTAGGAACTAATCCCATACAACCGAACAACATTAAAAACGCAGTACCAAACAGTTCTGCTAAGAAAATTGATACAAGTTTCTGCCATGGCTGCCGTTCATACAATTGGTTCGATTCAGCTGTACCTAAAAAAAGAAAAACATCCATAAGTTTTGTTTTGTTGTGAAATAAACATAATATTGAGTACCTTGTTCTATTAATGGTACAGAATCAAAAGTTAAATCATCCATTTAAATGTTGACTATTAATTTAAACGTTTTAACAGTTTGGCTAAAGGTTGTTCTCGGGTTGTTCAATATGTGTTTATACAAGCTAACAATATAGGTTATTTCAAAAAAAAAAATCCTAGTTTGATCAATTGCATAATTATTAAGTTGAAATAGGTAGTTATTAAGAATTATACTACTATATTAAGAATGTTTAGTTAGGTGTTATTGTGAAGTTAAAATGTTTGATACACTTAAAAATTTATAGTGAATTGAAAAATTAAACACATAACACATAAAAGAACAGCACAGTACACATTGTCATATTCCTTGGTCAATAAATTATCACCAAACTATAAATCTGAATATAGTAATAAGCCTACTGCCTAGTAGCCTAAAGGTACATATAAATAGATATCAATTATCAACTAACATGAAAAACTAATTAGGTATGTACTATGAATGTGTGATAATCCTTAATGAAAATAGTGGAACCCCTCAGCTCTATTAATAATAGTTGATACTATGCTTAGGTTTTGTGCGTATTATAAACATTAAAATTTGAAAATATCATAAGATGTGGAAGTCCTTAGTAAATTATATTTATTTACAGACTAGGTACACGGTACCTATTCAATATGTGATTATAGATACTAATATACTACCTTTTTTACTGTTCAACAAAGCAGGAAATGTTTATTATACCCAAGTAGATAAAAGATATACTTTARTTCATGCTATACTGCCATCCACTCTCAACACTCCCGTATTGCTTATTAAATATCTTTAATAATATACCACCAGTATTTCTCTATAACTTGAAAGTTAGAATACTAATTACTACCTATTATAGTATTATATTATTATTGTGATATAACTCATTCAAGTAGATTTTATACTTCCATAATGGTAAACACTAATAAACTAATGTCTAATCATACTACCATAGACATAAGACATAGTATACAAATCTGTGTTCCAAATTTCCGAACTCCGTCGGGCATCGACATAAACTAGCCACTAACTACTTAACTAGTAACTACTAACTTCTATGATAGAATCCCATAAAGGTGAAAATGTGTAATATAATTATAGTCAAACTCCTTAATACCTCAATATTCATAAGCACTAAGCGTCGACAAATCTTTATCAAACAACATTATAATAATTACTGATATATTTATCACTGTTACCTTATCAGTTATCAATAAACTTAAAAGCATTATTGACGTCAATTAAGCACACGGCTACAGCTACTGTGTGCATGCATAATATGTAAATGTGTAGTATGAACGAATAAATGTTTTAGCATATAGTCGTAACTGTACAAAACTATCATAATATAATAAAAATACTAAAAATAAAAATTTTTTTAAATAAAGAATATTATATTGGTGCATTAATATTTAAAAAAAATCAATCTGTAATAAGTTTTTAAATTTTTAAACCCATAAATAATATAATAAAAACAATATGATACAATGTTAAATTAAAATTAAATAATTTCATTTTGAATACATAACACAATATTACAATGTGATAATATTATAGCGGATGTACCTGTAGTATAAGGTCTACGTGATGAGAAATTATTGAAATGTTTGTAATTTGTTAGATGAATTAGGTCTTCCATTTTAATTATTTAGCATAAATACTATATAATTATTTAATACATGGTTRAAAATTCGTTATTTTATAACTATTAAATATACAAGCGTGTATCAGTAATTCAGTAGATAATGTTACAGAATAAATATGTATAATAGACTATAATACGCGAGGTGATACAAGTGTTGCCTCAAATGAACAACATTTGGTTAGAAAAATGTGATATTCATTAGAATATTAGATACAGGTGTCAATTGTCAGTGTTACAATCCCCACCTAAAAAATGAAACCATTTTATTTGTGAAAATCTAAAACTAACATAATTACTGCAAATATTAACAATATTAACTTATTGCTGTAAATTGTCTAAAGCAAATAAAACTGTCAACTTACTGTCAACGATTAAATTATTTTCGAACTATACTAAACACCAATAATGGTTAAACATTTATAAATGTGTGTTTAAAAAATAATATGATTTCAATTGCAATCATGTATGTATCTAATCATTTATATTTGTCCGGTTACATTCCTTATGTAATATTATGTAGTATAGGATTTGTTACAGTACACGACACGTATAATAAATTGTATTTTGAGATGTTAATTTTAATTTGAAAAATGTATAAATCATTATATTATAGCAATTGTTTACTGCTAATAGACAACCTACGTCATGTTCACCCAAATGCATTTTTAGAACTATTTCGTTAATCTGGTGAGAGCATTTTTTATTATTATAAGTTTCTTGTATGAAATTAGTTTATAGACCTTAACATAAAAAATTTAAATTCGTAAGTTTGGCATAACCAGAATCACAAGACACAAGAACATACGAGTATTCGCCTAGATTATTTTTAAATTACATACAAAAACAAAACATTTTTGAAATGAACAAGTAATAACAAAATATTTGTAGACAACAAATTACTATCTTACAGTCACCAAAAACATACATTTTGTAATCCAAAACTAACAATAACTGTTGACACCATACATCCGATTCAAATCTGCCCGCCAAACACGTCAGTCACATCTATTCTGTGGATCACTATGCTACCAGTTATAATTGTTATCACATTGTTAATAAAGTATAATTTTCATAAAATCATGTGTATGTGTTGTCAACTAGCATCAAGTTGAAGCCTACAGATCATTATTATTAGTAGTTAGGCTCAGGATAAGCTGGTGCACCACGCAATTTACATACCATAGGTAGGTATTTATTATTATAATTGCAATTATTTAAAAATCTATCAAAATGTTATGGGAAACTAACGCGGAGTAAAATGTACTATCTAACATATACTAAAAAAATGTTGCAAATATACGGAGGTATAAATGGATAAGGTAACTGGAAAAGTGCAAAATATCAAGCAACTCGAATCTGGACCTAAGGGTCCTGGATCCCAAAACCAATGGAACATTGTAAAATTTAAAAAAAAATTTTACGATGTAATTTAAAAAAAAATCTTAATCAAAGTATGTCTAACCTATTTTTCAAAATTATGAATTGTTATCCATAACGATAAAATGATTAACCTCGAATCCATTAATCAATATAATCCAATAAAAAAAAACTGTATTTTTACTAATTACATTAGACTCAAGCAATTTAAAATATAATACAATATATTTACAAATAAATAACTAAGCAATTAATAGAAATTAAGAAAAATAACTAATACTTAGTGTTTAATAATTTATTTGGGTCAATCATTTTTAACTTTTAAATTTAATATAAAATAATCTAATTATATCAAACCCCTAAACTGTATTAAACAAACATTTAGTAGATATTTACCATATTCTGAAAAATCCCCAAAGGATACAGATGATTCAATTTTTTTGAATAGTTTACGTGATGCCTTTCCTGGGCTCACAAAACAACCAGCCATGTTTATTTGTATCTTAGATAAATTTTAATAATAGATGTACAAAACTACAAAAGGAAGGTAAAAACGTTGTATAAATTAGATAACATAAAACACTAGACGCTGTTTCAGTACTGAGTACAGCAAGTAAATGGACGTAAAGAACCGAAACTATACGCTTTTACTAAGAAACACCGTTTCCGTCCTAAATCAACGGCGAGCGGTGAACCATGACAATATATATAACTCCCACTAACCCATGAAAAATTACTCAATGGCTTACAATAATTACAGAAAAAATAATAATCTTGCGACATATTGCATGCTACAGTAAAATGGTATAATATAGTTATAATTAAATAATTAAAAAAATTGATAACCCATAAATTAKATACACTATAATATAATGAATATATAAAATATGTCCCCACGTCATTAGATAATTACATCATAATATTAAACACAAACTACGAGGAGTAAAGCGATGATACCTATATGATTTTTGATTTGAGCATTAAATATTAAAATAAATTTTAATTATTGACCTAGAAACCTAGACCCTACTACCCTAATTAATTTAGAAAACTAAAAGATTTGAGTAAAAAACAAGACTTTATAAATAGTAGGCACGTCCCTCCCCCACACTATCAAAACCAATAAACGAAGACAATCGTAAATACGCCATTGGACTGCCGACTGATGACTGTCATACTACATAAATAGTAGTTATATTTCTAAATAAATATTAATTTGGTAGAATATCACATTTTAAAAATTACATYAACATTTTTTTTTTTTTTAGAATAAAAATCATGTCAATACACAAAGGTATAGATATAAGTTATTATAATGCAATCTCAGAAATATTTTAATTTAATTTAATAGTTATAATCTTAATACCAGGGGTGTATTTAGATTTTTTTTTTTTTGGGGGGGGGCTGTGGTATTTTCTCCAACTGAAATTCCCAATTTAACCTATACGAGTTAGAAAATTAGTACACAATTTTTAATTTTTGTTATGATTTTTAATGTTTTAAAAGTATTAATAATAAAATAAAAATAATAATATAACAAATTATATAAAAATTTAAATTTGTTTCTTTGCCGCTGTTGGCAAATTGTATGTATATATCGGACATCGGAGTACCGGACAACAAAATATAAAGCTCATTAGCACTATACGACGAAAACCGATCACCGTAACAGTGTTATCGGCCGTCGTCGTCACAACTTTWCSGCAATATAAAGTCAATTTATCGGAAATATTTTTAGCTCATACGGGCTCGTATAGTTATTATTGTACGGTGATTGAGACGCGACAACGCGCGTGTATCAATAAATCAATTTTAAGTAAAAGAAATCGAAATTACGATAATACAGCAGTACTGCACGTATACCGAACTCAAAGATATAAATTATACCTGATTATACCATAAC